GATAGAATTGTCACCAGTGTTCAGAAAAAATCATTTGGTACGAACCAAAGTAAATTGCAAGTTGTCTCAGTTAATTGATCGAATTGTTACCATGTGCCCAGAAAAATAATTTGATATGAACCGAAGTAATTTCAACAGAAGAAAATGTGCACATCAAAATTTCCAAGGACATTTAATTTTTTACCATTAGTTAACTACTTGTCACGGATTGTAAAAATATATTTTTTGGTAATACAATTAGCTTAAACAGCATCTTTGTGCCACGTTTTCAAAAATTGGTAGTTTTCTTTGTGGWTAGGTGTAATATTTGCCGGATTTTTTCTACTTCAGAATATTGGYACTTAAAAAATTACCCGTTACAGGTTTTAGAAACTCGAACAGTCCTATCTTGGGGCTATGCATAGACACTATAAACTCCCTTGATTTGACGAAGACCTGCTTAAATGCCAATACCTTTAGTCAGTGTACACCGATCAAGCACAACACAAACACCCAAGTGACGCCAAAGACAAGTAGAATCAAACTTCTTGAAAAAGAACTAAGCCATAAGTGCAAGGCGAGGGATGTTGAAGCAGCTCTCCTTGAAGCAACCATTGAAACACCGCAATCGACACCGTTAGACATCGACGAGGCCGACCCAAGCTCAAATGGCTTAACTAGCATTTTATCATCAAATGTTGGCCCGATTTCAAAGAAGAGAGCCATCAATGCTCTATGTAAAAGAGTATGGCAAAATCTAATCGATTCATGTCGCTTATATGACGTAAACATGGGCCATTTACTTGGCAATGCATGTATTTACGGGGATGAATCACTAAAAAATGATGTGGAATTTGTAATCCAAAGCGCACTGGAAACTATTGTTGAAAAAAAGGATACCAAACCACCCTAAGCATTGTTTCTTCGTCATTGATGAATGACAGAAAGAATATAGAGATCCGAGTTCCAGACTGGGTGCAAATCTACGTAAAATTGTCCACGAAAAATGCCAGATACAGCATGGCAAACTCTTATCAATTACCTTAATATTGGCAGAACTGGGGTAAGTAGAAGTAATAGATCAAAAACGAGTGCGAGTGTTTCATCAGGGGATCCAAACACCGAGAAACAGATGAAAGCACGCGGCCGAAGGCCAATTGCTTTTAGCGTTTCGAGATGTTTGGATTCCCCTGATGAAACACGAAGCACGAGTTTTTGATCTGATTTCTCAAACAAATTGATAATGAATGACTTCAGCTGGCAAATTCCTTAAAGACCGTAATTGGATTTATTCATCAGTCCTATTTTGGGTATGAATAGAATGAAATTGGCATCATCRATCGCTATTATATATATAAACCCCAAAGGAGAGAGATTTGTAATAAATTTGTAGTAGTTCTGTTTATTCAGTTCAATTTCATAAGTTGTAATGGCGGAGGCAACCTCCGCGTGTAGCTTTCGAGATCCAACTCGAGAAGAAGATGGTGA